AATATCTATTTTTAACTTACTTGAATAACTAACCATGGTATTGTATAAAGAACAATAATTGAAATCTTGGACCTAAATATGAATTCCCTCGCTTTTTTCGAAAATGGGGCATTAAATATTTCGAGGCCGCAAAAATGAGAATTTAAAACCAATAGTACTTCAACATCTGAGGTTGCTAACATTGCAAAAAAAGCAGCAACAACAAATTTTTTATTGCCGATCCATTCATTGTAATAATGATTTGGCAATTCTTTAGTCAAAACTATAAATGTATATATTACGTTCAAACTAATGCCAACGGTCAAAATTACAACACTAAAAGCATAAAAGAGTCATTTAATATAAAATTTAAATTCAAATTCAAAATGTAAAAAGCAAAACATGAACCTTGGAATATTAAGGGATGGAACGTCTTTTACTCGTGTTACAACAAACAAAATATTGGCGACCAGATTAAAGACGCTTAAAACCATTGTGAAGAAGGAATATGTGTTACACTAAAACGATTTATAAACTTGGTAAATATTTAATCATCTCTTTGATCTTTCTAGAATTGAAAATCATACCTGATCAAAAAAATCATTTTTGATACATGCTTGTGTATCAATACATTCTGGATCATGAACGCAATCTTTATAGCCCTGCGATTTTACGCAATTATTTTGTCCTAACCATTGTATACAATGTTCTTGGCTTGCGTATGTGTGTATACCTTCTGCAACGAAAAAAAGAATGATCGAGGCTATAAATACTGCTACATATATAAACCATTTATCTCTGATTTCATTGAAAAAGTTTGCTGAGTAAATGATAATGAATGTATTAGAATATAAAACTTATTAAGAATTAAATAAAGTAATGAAATTACTTACAATTTAATGTAAATGGATATGTTTCATCAATATAACTGGTATGTGGAAGTTTTGAAAGAACAGTAATATATTTATTTTTTATCAATACATTTAAATCATCCATTATCTGATCTATATTTGGTTGAAATAGGTCATTTGTACCAAAGACATTCAATTCAAACAATAGCTGTCCTTTTGGAGTGTCTGGATCAAAATTAACACGTCCAAAAGATAACCTTGAAGAGTCTATGGGAATACTTTGAGCAAGTTCTTCACTTAAACGGTCTCTAAACAATGATTGTTGATCAGATGTTAAATTATTGTAATAAATTGTTCCATCTTCAGACAACCGTAAAGTTCCAACAAGCGAATCTAATTGATCAAAACATATATCAATAAACTATACGTCTTTCATACTTTATAACATTATTTAGTATATTAGCATGAAATTAAAGCTACATACCTCCATACATATTTGGAAGTTTTACTAGAATATAAATAAATGAAGTGATTAAGCATCGTTATTGCAGTATTGCTTAAAGCAAATGTTGTTATATTACACTTACTAGGTTCTGTTTTAATTTTCCACGAACCATTCGAAATACCACGTATTTGTTCTTGTGACCCAAAATCTTTAACAAATCCATTGTCTATAGATATCAAATAAGAAGTATTGGGAACATTGAAAGTGCTTGACAAAATTTCACAGCTTATTGTTACTTTATCATTAAGAACTGAACAATACGATCCAGAATAAGTTTGCCTTAGTTTAGTATCATTATCATATAGTTGATAAATGGAAATATTTCCTAATGATTTCGAGATAGGATTCCTATAAGTAATATTGAGAGAATCTGTGAAACGAAGGCCTAAAGTCTGATTATTTTCCGGAAAAGATGACATGATCAAAACGTTTTGAAATATGGCTATTAAATATAGTAAATATTAGTTATACACTATTAGTATTTTAAAAAAATTAGCATAATAAACGTACAATCATTGTAATAGCGTGGCATATCTAAACTAAATATTGTCCAATTTAAGCCTTGCACAGCTATCCAAAACGTATTATTTTGCAAGAGTCCGAGAGAAAATCGTTCATAAACATCCATAATATTTATTGTTATAGGGTCGGGCATTTTCCACAAATCAAACTTAGATAGTTGATCATCACTCAAGTAACCTGATACTCCAACTGTAACATTAGAGGCGAGATAAAATTTAACGACAAGAAAACCACCATAATACAAAGGAAAGTATTTATAAAAAACAATCGATTGATTTGGAGTCGTTTGGGGTAGTGATATTTGTGTATCATTCGTCACTGATCCAGATGATGGAAATGACAACATTGTTATCCCCGGAGTTGGAAGAGATCCATTACCATTTCCGGTTACTTCATAGATTAAGCAATCGTTTCCTTTAGAGTCATGCCTTGATTGGCATGAACCTAACATTACAACATTAGAAGTATTTCTTGTTTCGTATATTTGAAATGGAGTAATAACTTCACTATCATTAGTGTTTGGAATAAACGCCACATGCACCAAAACGGCAGAGATAACATTAGTCTGACCACTTGACTTGACATATTATTACTTTTAACCAAACAATATGCCACGCCATAACCACCATCCACTCTTTGAAATGGTATGAGTGTAAAAAAACTTGCAAGATAAGTATAGGTATAAGCCTGAGCACCTTGGGGAAAGGGAATGTAACCTTTTGAAATAATTGAAATGTTCCCATTCAATCTGTCAATAAGATAATAATCACATTATTATCATTACAGATATTAGTTATAATGTAATTAATCTCAAAAAAATATGACTCACGGAGAACTATATTTTGTCCATTCTAAAAAAGTATAATTCGTTTGTGCCACCAAAAATCCCATTTCCGGCCTTATATTTGATATAATATCTATGTTATTTGCATCAATTTGTCCTATAAATACGTTACTAATAATGTATTGAATATATATATATATTTATTATTCATTTATTTATTTATTAGTTTTATGTTTGTTTTAAGGCGTAAAGAATTTAAATAGTGTACTTACTCTAACAAAATATTTCCAGACCAGTCAATTATAGTCCAACTTAAATTAGTCTGAACACCGTTCGATTGCTGGTACAAAAGAAATATAAAATTCGGCTCTAAGACATTATATTGAAAAACTGTCCAATTTTCTTGATGTTTGATGTTTGAAAGACTAATGTTAGCAATCGACCCATTTGTAAAAAGAATGTGTATATCTGAATAGTATTTTACAAGGGCAGATTTATTAAGAGCACCGATTAACAATGTGCCGTCATCATAAGAACAAACTTTATCTAAAGGGAAATAATCTGCTTGGCCATAAGTACGTGACGCTACAATATTATATGCATCTTCATTTGATTTTGCAAAACAAGTCAAGAAGATAATGAAATAAATAATATGCAAATGCATCTTAAACATCGTTTGCATGCAAATTTTGAGAACGTTCAAATTAATCTTTAATGTATGAATTTATATTAGTATCAATAGTATGATAATCAACAACTCGAAAAGATCTATTCAATGAAAGTTATCTAAAATAGTATTAATATAAACCAATCATTGTACTTTTTAAGTTAAAAAATAAAATCCATGTTTCTTGCAACTTTATGATTTCGTATCATACGGAGTTTGCTCTCCGGAAACTATAACATTCCAAAAATATATATACAGTAGTACTTTCTTATACAAATCAATATCTTTTGTTAGTAATCCTAATCAAAGTCTTTAATTGGTAATTTGAATTATTTTTTATCTTTATATTTACAAATGTACTGTACGTACGTACGTACCTATGTATTATAATTTTAGAATTTTAAGATTTACTTACAAAGTCGTACTGTGTATTGATACAATCAAAACACTAATTCAATAAAAAACTAATAATGATACATCAAACATAAATAAATTGCACTTTGCTTATCGTTATCAATATTATGTGATAGTCACTCTGGAATCGACATATGCCATAACTAGCAGTTTGGTACGCCATAACGATAGTGGCTTGATAGGAATTAATTCTCCGAAGATAATGCTGTAATGTGGATTTGAAACCTGTTTATTTTCATATGATTGAAGTCGACTAAACCGGTTTTTAATGTATGAAAATAAAAACGGTCCAAACTCTATAATTATAGCATTATCTACATACTTAAAATGAAATTTCTTAGTATAATACATTGAAACAGGCTTAAGTTAACTTAACCCATTCCATGTTAATAGTGTGAAGTTCAAACATTATCATTTTTAATAGACGAGCTATCGAATTTTTTTTTAAAAAAAACTCTGTTCAAATAAAAACAGGTTGAAGTGGAATAGAATTAACAAGAGATAAAAATAGACGAAAAATACAACAATAATATTGGAATATATTATTGTTAGCAATTAAGTTATGACTTGAATTTATAATTTTTTTTTTTTGCTTTTTTCACTATTGATTGTGCTAATACCATATAGCCATTATGACGCACCAACCTGGTACATTTTCTGGATGCAATTAGTTCTAGTAGCGTATTTCTGAAAACAAAATATATTATTTGGGTTGGATTCGAATGTAAATGATAACTTAGATTAACGAAAGGAGAATTATTATATTAGGTTATTGATACTATAAATTTTATATAATTTTAATCCGACACTAACTTTGCAAAATATCCTTCATGAAATTTTTAGCCGACGTTGCTAGTATATCTTACTCTTCTTATTATCGTTGTCATCGATATCATCGATAGTTTTAGATGTAAAATGCTACTTAGAAAAAAATTAAAGAAATTTCGTAATAATGAAAATGTATAATAACCTACTTTGATTATTTAGACAATTTTATTTATTTCTTCAGATTTTTTATAATACAATTATTTTATCACATGCTACATAAATCCATCACGTTACTTGATACTCTAGCTTGTCAACAATCTAACTAGTATATCGATTTTTACTATCGTTAACTATCACACTCATTCGTACCAGGAACGTTAGTGTATGGTTTTACTGGCATCTAAAACGAAGGCAAAATCTTAAAGCTGATTGGTGCATATTTT